AATTGAATTGAATTGAATTAACGTTACCTGACATTAACTTCGCTGTCCAGTTCAAGACACCAATATTGTTTTAAATGTTATAAAGAAAAGTTCACATTCCTTTTCTCACTTGTCCATCTTGTCCTTCAATCATGTGTCTTAGAAATGCGGTCCTTGGTCACTCAATTCTGTATGTGGCTGTGTTACAAAAAACTAGGGTCCTACAAATGTGGTCCTAGGATTGTGAAAGTGCAGCCTCTGGTACTGCAGGTACATGCTACATAATCTCACTTACACGGCAGATAAGAAGGTCTTTGTTGTGATTTGATAATCACTATTAAATAAAACAATTTGTGTAGGGGCAAGTAAAACTTGACGATTTCTGACCCACTTACATGACTGGACAAGAGAAAAAATTAACGCTGAACCCTGTAATGACTGTATGCCATATAGGGAACTATATATTTGATAGTACCTATAGTAGATTTTTTTTTAATTTTACTCTAAAGGCAGATTTAACGCAGTGCTAAGACTTTACTTTACATTGACAGCATGGGCATGCAAAATCCATAACATCTGTCTGCATGGGAACATTCTTTCCCACAACAAAATGATGAAGGAGATGACAATAGACAGGACACCTCATTGTGGAGATATTCTACACATGGGAATGTGTCAGGATCCCCCCAAAAAAGCTGGAGGGCTTGGATAGGGACAAGGACATCTGGGCTACTCTGCTTAGACTGCTGCCACCTGGACACAGGCTCAGACAAACTCAAAAAAATAAACTAAAATGGATGAAGAGATGGCCTAACGTGGTACTATTTGCCCAAATTTTAGTATTTTAATTTTCTTATATCATGTCTCATTTTAAATCTTAAGATACTCAAATATTAAGTAAATCTTATTCTTCTTATAGTTTTAGTGAGTCCAAATTTTTAGTTCAGATCTCAAGTCTAAAGTGTGCAGCTCATACACACACTAACACAATTTAAAGTAACTGTTCCCTGTGTCGTGTATCCTCTTCAGGTGTTCTACTACTCGACTAGGATCTTTGAGCGAGCAGGTGTGTCCCAGCCTGTCTATGCAACCATTGGTGCAGGAGTGGTCAACACCGCTTTCACTGTGGTTTCTGTAAGTCTGTAAAAAAGAAAACAAAAAAGGCTGTAAGTCCAGGCTGCAACATTGTACCTTCATTTTGTAATCAATACTTTTTATGCAGTTGTTTGTGGTGGAGCGTATGGGCAGGAGACCACTTCACCTCATTGGTTTGATGGGAATGGCAGTTTCAGCTGTTTTTCTAACTGTTGCCATGGCGCTGTTGGTAAGTGTTTGAGATCACCTATTCTTAATCTGCTAGGCTTTTCATATAAAGTGACTTAAAGTCTCTGTGGTGCGCTGTCTTCCTTAGGACCAGTTCAGGTGGATGTCCTATTTTAGTATTGTGGCCATCTTCAGTTTTGTTGCCTTTTTTGAAATCGGCCCCGGCCCCATACCCTGGTTCATTGTGGCCGAGCTCTTCAGCCAGGGGCCCCGGCCTGCTGCCATTGCGGTTGCTGGTTTCTCAAATTGGTCTGCCAACTTCTTAGTGGGGATGTGCTTCCAGTATGTTGAGGTAAGACAGCTTTAATTAAAAAAATATATTGGCATTGTACATTTATGTTTATTTATCTTCAGTCCAGAAATGGCATTTACTTTCTTAACTGTTGGTTATTCCATACATACTATAGCTTGTGCCCATCATTTGAAAAACTTCATGTTTTGCTTTCAATGTCTCTGCAGCAACTCTGTGGCCCCTATGTCTTCATTATCTTCACCGTCCTTCTGCTCGGCTTCTTCGTCTTTACCTACTTCAAGGTGCCAGAGACAAAGGGCCGCACCTTTGATGAGATTGCAGCAGGTTTCCGCCAGTCAGCTGGTCAGGGTGCTGACAAATATTCAGCCCCTGAAGAGTTCAACACCCTCAGGGGGGACGACCCGGACCTTTGAAAGCTTCCATTCATGCACACACTTGAGTTCAGCAAGGTTACAACACAACTGTCATGTCTCAAATATCCCATAAGCTAATTAAAGGGTCAGTATTTAAAAAGAGGTTTAATCTGCACACAGACTGTAATAAAAATGGATGACCTGACCGAGGATCACTGTTAGATACGATGTGCTCAGGATGGCTGTTCTCAGCACTGACCCTGCTGGTAAAAATTACATCCAATAGGCTTTTAAAATCCAGTAAGTGAGAGGCTTGGGTGTGCTGCAGCAGAAAACACAGGGAGGTTTTAGACTAAAGCCAGACCGTTCAACATATATGAAAACGGAATAGTACATTTTTTTTTTTCCCAGTATAAAAAGCAGAAAACAAGGTTTGACGTTTATCCAGCAGAGTGTGCTGTGGTTTACAATACTGTGGCAAGCAGCACAGAGTAAGAGAGAAGAAGCAGCTCTCAGCAACTTCAACTAGAATTGGTTGACAATCTATATGTTAAATTATATTTAACTTTAGTATTCTTAGTAGTTATTTGTGTTAGAAAGCAAAGTACCTTTGCAAAGTTATAATGGTGCACATCCACATAGACAAGGTCTATTTTCATTCCAGCTCAAAAAGAAACTATATTGGCCGCCATATTGGTAGTCTAAATTGTTCCCACTAAAATGGATATCAGTCTCAAAAATCCCATTTTGGTCGGGTTCTAGTTTAGACAGAGTGTAAATATTTGGAGTTAAATTATGTAGTAATATTCTTATTCAAAATAGAAAATTGAACATTCATTGTATAACTTGAAGACCTTAGTTTCTATTTCATGTCTGTTATGCAATTACATTTTCTATTTAAAATGGAAAATCTCTGCTGTGTAATCTTTGCATTGTAGGTCATAAGTATGAGATTTTACTAAAAATGTATTTATTTACTTTAATTTAGTAAGTCAGAACTACAGAAAAAGTGTGTTTCCATCCAACTGCTTGTGTTCAATTTGTGTCTAATAAACCCAGACTTCAGAAAATGAAAAAAATTCAGAAAAACCTGAAACATTGCAAAAAGGTGGAAGAAAAGTGGAAAAGTTGGTGGAACCATAAAAGGGAAATCTGACAAAGTGCAATTGAAACATAGTTAGTGGAGATCTCTGTGGAGGAAGAGACTGTAACCTTCCTCACATTAATATATGAAACTAACAGAAATTTCATATTGTCATATGGTTGACAATCATTTGTGCTTTGACTGGGGCTCCTTTAATAACAACAACACGTTGCATGCTCTTCTGCAACGGCTTATTGACACTGACTGGAGAATTAGCACCACCAGCTGTTTATTATCAACCAATGAGCTCATATTCACACAACAGTAGTGGGTGGAAACACATTCATCTTTTGCGAATTGGAACTTTGGAACTGGTTAAAATTTGCACTACATTTGGATTATGTACAATGTACAATTTTTGATTCACAGTCAAACTTGTGACATACTGATTATGACATGAAGGTATGTTCAGACTGAATATGAAGAGTTGTTTTTGTAAATTTGTTTGTAAGGTCTGTGCTTATTTATCCCAAACAGCCAAGCCTAACTCTGACTTAGTGGTAAATGAGTAACCTATAACTTTCTCCAACAACTGATATGTCATTGTGCTAAGCAGCACTTGGTTTTTGAATCAATCAATCAATACCTTGAAAGTAAAGGGGAATCTGAGAAACTATAGTAATGGTCTTCTCCTTCACTAACATTTGTCCTCACCTGGTAGACTAAACTTGTGACATCACTTTTTCTTTGTTTTTTAGTAAATCACTGTGGAGCTTACAGACAAATTTCACGCTCATTTATACTGAGTTAGAGCAAAGTTCAACATTTTTGGAAGTTCATGCATATTAACTCTCTGGCAGAGAGTTAGATGAGAAGATTGATTCCACTTTCATATCTGTCCTTTAAATAAAACCTTAGCTTAGCACAAACACTGCAAACAGGCGAAGACAGCTAGTCTGGCCAGTGTCCAGTAGTAACAAAATTCAACAAAAATGTTCCTCTCACTAATTAACATGTTATATGTTGTTTGTTTAAATGTCCAGTGTGTATCATTTAGGAGGATCTATTGGCAGAAATGGAATATAATATTCCTTGTTATGTTTTCATTAGTGTATAATAACTTGAAAATAAGACTTGTGTTTTTGTTACCTTAGAATGAGCCATTTATATCTACAGAAAGGGCTGGTCCTCTTGACAAAGGCTGCCATGTTGAACCGCCATGTTTCTACAGTTGCCCAGAGCAGACAAACCAAACACTCCAGATCGGCCACTGTAGTTTCTCCCACGTGCTTGGGAGGCTGTGCTGTATTCAAATAGTCGCAATCTGCAGCTTCCTTGCTAGTTGCCACTGAATCCTGAAAACCCGCCAGTTCACCATTATAAGGGTGTTATGTGTTGAGACTGCTTATTTACTGGAATGTCAGCTGCTCATCTGCCAACTGCTCAGAGCCAAGAATCTTTGCACTGATATACTACATATTTTGCAATATTATGCAGTCTCAGCACATTTTTACAGCTAAGACTGATTTCAAAAGGTCAAAGTTTTCCGTCTCTTTTTAGCCCCTGCTGTTTCTGTATATTTCATAATAACTGGATCACAGTTGGTTAGATATAATGAATACTGTAGCTTATGTATATGTATTGTATAATTAATTAACCTACTGAAGTCAACATCCATTTCACATTTATGAATTAACTTTACTGTGATTTGTACATAATGAAATTGTTTTGTCCGACAAATAAACTGCACAGTGTTTTAGAAAATAAAGGATATATAAACACAAGTTTCAATTAAATTTTTTTCCCTGTTACTGAAAGCTAATGATGACAGCCAACTTCCTATGATGAGACTAATATTTCAGTAAATACTGCAGGGTCAGGATAATTGGATGCAGATTTAAAATGTAGTTTAATGATTGTATAAAGATCACGGTTAGTCAGCCAGGGTTAATGATGTGGATGAACAAGTAAATGAGCAAGTATTAGGGCCATTGTGGAGGATGAAAATCGAATTACTTTGGGACATGAAGTCATTATATTGCAAGGATATTTGTAATATGATAATGAAAAAAACAATACATAATACACAGCAGTAAAATGTATGTTAAAAGATATTAAAGATGGGGGGCAGGTAGGTTCAATGGGGCCTATTTAAACAGGCTCTTACTGAGGATGGTCACATCTGTTGGAATAAAGATTTTTGTATCCATTCTTCCTGACCACTGGGACTTTTGGTTGGCGGCCTGATGGCAGCAGATTGAATGCTGAATAAAGAGGATAGGTGGGGTCGTTGTAGATCTGGATTGCCTCGTTGAGAAAAACAGAATAACAGAAAAACAGACCCAACAGTTCTCACCATGAGCAAACACTTGGCGACGGTGGCAAGGAAAAACTTCCTTTTAAGAGGCAGAAACCTCGGACAGACCCCAGCTCTAGGTGGGTGGCCATCTGCCTCGACCAGTTCGGGTTAGAGAGACAGAAAGAGGGAGAGAGAGGGGGGTAGAGGGGTAAAGAGAGAAGGACAAAGGTGCACAACAACAACAACAATAAGATTGTTATTCACGTCGGCGGTAATGACACCCGATTACGCCAATCGGAGGTCACTAAGATTAATGTGGAGTCGGTGTGTAATTATGCAAAAACAATGTCGGACACCGTAGTTTTCTCT